TCAGGTCCCTTCTGACCCTACAAACTATGAAACTATGAAGTAAATGATCTATTGTATCTTGATGACTCAGCATTTTTACCCTTTCTTAGAATGCCCTGCAACATTTACTGAATTCAGACAATTAAACAATGTCAAGTCCTTCTGCTGCTTAGGTAGCACAGTTACTGATGACACCACCATTGACGATGAACTTTCAGCACACTTAAAGTCAGTTGTTTCAGCTTTCAGTCACCTACAAAATAGACTATGGATGAGACAGAGTGTCAAAGTATCTACAAAATGCCAAGTTTACAGAGCCATTGTGCTCCCTTGTCTCCTATACTCATTAGAGACCTGCCCCCTTCATTGTCACCATATAAAAAAACTTAACTGCCTGCAAGGCCACCTGTGCAGCATAATGAGGATTAAATGGTCTGACAAAATCACCAACAATGAAGTACTACAACTGGCACCTATGCCAAGCATGGAAGCCATGTTAGCACAGAGGCAAATGACCTGGGTTGGCCACATCATATGTATGGACAACAATCAACAGCTTAAGAGAATTCTGTACAGTGAATTTGAAAAAGGCAATGTATGGATACTTTGAAGATTGTTATGTACAAGCTGTTACATGTGAGTGGGGATTGCAGAAGGGAACTGGAGGAAACAGCAGAACAGTAGGCTGAGCGTGGCTCTCTGCTTAAACAATCTTTATCATTCTATAGACTTAACTCTTTGTTTTTTTTAGAACAACATATGGTATCAGGAATGGGGTACAAAAAAAAAAGAAAAATGGAGCATCTCAGAATTCCAGAGGAGTTAAAGCTGTCCAGCAATGCAGCAGAAAATTGGAAGAAATTTAAGCAGAGCTTCACCATATATATGGCAGCCCATGGAGCTACAGAGAAGGAAGATCCACTCAAGGTAGCTATTTTTTTAAACATAACAGGCCCAGAAGCTCTGTCTGTTTATAAGAACCTACAACTGTCAGGAGCAGAACAGAAAAGTTATGGCACAGTAATAAAAATGTTTGAGCAATGTTGTACTCTACTCTGACTCTGATTTAAGAGTCAATTGGATGTTTACCTTGCTGGGATCCTGTGACCCCAGCTGACTTCCTGCCCCTGGGGCGGGGGGCTGGACTTGATGATCTTCCGAGGTCCCTTCCAGTCCTAATGTCTATGACATCTATGAAAATGAAACTTTTGAATGGTATAATTTCCATATGACACAGCAGAAAGAATGTGAAACAATAGAGGAATTTGTCAAAGACCTGAGATTGCTGAGCCAGACATGCAACTTTGGAAACCTAAAAGAGTCCATGATCACAGACCAAATACTATTAGGCACAAGGGATACAGGCCTCAGGAAAAGACTTCTAGAGGATCCTGATCTTAATTTGAAAAACGTAGCTAGAATGTGCCAAGAGGCTGAGACAACAAATACCAGGCTGCAGAAACTGAAGGAAAAAGCAACAAGATGAAATAGGATTACAAGACTGCAAAAACCTAAGGCAACACACAAACAATACAGAAAGGAGGACCTCACTATGAAGCAGACAAGTAGAGGCCAAAGAGAATTGATTGAAGAAACAATGGTTAGCTGCAGGTGCTGTGTGGGTTACTGTGAGGAAGAGAGAGAGCCACAGGGGGCAAAGGAGCACCGGCCAAAGATAGAATCAGCAGCCCTAGCACCAAAGCCCCAAAGAGCCCGGCAGAAATCCTCCTTACCCAGGTGTTTATGAAGGGGAGGGGCTGGGAATTCAAACCCCAGCATAAAGAGGAGTCTGGAGCAGGCCAGGGAGAGGAGCGCAGGACCAGAAGGAGCTGAGTTGGACCAAGCAAAGGTGCAGGAAAGCCTGAGAGCAGCTGGGAAACCCGGCAGGAGGCTCCTGCAGAGAGGGAGCTCCCTAGAGGAAACCTAGACCAAGGATTGGTGAAGTAGCAGCACCAGAAATTTACTGCGATCTTGCAGGCAGCCGAAGCAGGGCTGGAGAAAATACTGTAAAGACCCTAAGAGAAGGGGACTTCAGAGACAAGGTACCGTAAAGACCCTAAAAGGGGGACATGGACAAATTATCAAGGATAGACCCAGTGGGGTGAGGGTACCATAATGTCCCCAATAGGAGGCTCATGAAGAGGTACTGTAAAGACTGGAACAAGGTGAAGGAGGAAGTGACCTCACAGAGTATTTTTGTTCTCCTCTGTTAAAAAAAAGCTGGGGGAACACTAACCCAGGCCAGGAGCGCTTGTTTTTCTTTACATAAAGACAGAGGCCCGGGGGGAGAACCCGCCAGCTGGAACAGTGATGAGAAGACGATTCAATACCCAGTGGAACGGGCAGGGGTGTAGGGGATGGTGGAGTCTGCATGAACACAGGATGGTGGATGACGACTGACTGGAACTACACGCACAGGTACAGAATTCTACTCCCATAAACATCAAGTTGTGGCAGGCAAGGACGTGTGTGTGTAGACCTCTTGTTGGGACTTATCACTGATGTCAACTGGCAGGCTGAGGTCCTATGGTGATACAAACAAACAAATATATATATATATATCTTTATAGAAAGAAAAAGGAGATAGCAGCTTCTACCCTGAGACCGAGGGCGTGACTGGAGGAGGAAAGACTCTTTGCGAGGGAGCTACATAACTAGGACTGTGACAGTTACCACAAATCCAAGCAATTCCCTGCACTTCGTAACTGCCAAAACAAATGCAAAAGATTCAATCACTTTGCAAGAGTTTACAGAAAGGTGCAGGATGCATTACACAAGAAACAGCAGGTGCATGCTCTATGCAATGAGGAAGAGGAAGAATTCCTCATTGGCACAATGCAAGATAAAGCTATTTGTCA